CTAATATTTAAAATTCTATCAGTCATAATTATAGTATTACCTATTAAAGGTAATACAATAGTAGAGAAAATAAATAATTTAATTACTTGAGATTATAAAAATAATAGTATATTATAATACACTGCCCTATAATAAATTACTGGATTTTATAAATTTTATTTAGTAATATATAGTAAAATTAAAGATCTTTAGATTGCATAAAAGTTTACAAGTTTTAATAAATATCATCTGATTTTTTTTTTTATTTAATAGCTGATCAATTATAGTTTTTAGATATTAAAATAAAAAAAGAAATTTTTTAGAACATAAAAAAATTTTCTTATATTGAAGTATAAACAACAATTTTTTTATATGTTTTTGCATTTTTATATATAAAATTATGTTGTTTATTACTTTACAAATGAGTATTTTTTTAGTATTTTATAAATAGAATATTTTTGAATTATATTTTTAAAAATTATAATTGATTAGTTATTAAATAAAAAAATTTAGAGTGAAATTTATTAAAAATTCATAAACTTTTATGCAATTTGAAAATCTTCAATTTTACTATATATTACTAAGTAAAATTTATAAAATCTGATAATTTATTGTAGGGCAGTATATTAATTTTATAAGTTTTAAAGCAGATAATGTAATTATACAATAAAGTATATCAAATGATAATAGAATATTTTTTAATAAATAGATTCTCAAATTTAAAAATTCTTTTTATGAAATTAATTTTAAAATATTAATTTTTAAAAAATTGACTAATTATACATATGTAAGATATAAAATATGCTATAAAGACTGTTAGTAATCAGATATATTATAGAATATAATTACTCATATTTAAAAATAGTATAGTTTATTATAATCAATTTTGCAGTTTTATAAAAAAAAATTTAATGCTTTATATCTGTAATATCTATAATACTAATAAATAAAATAATAGTATAACATTTTATTTACAATTACTTAGAATATGAAAATAATAAACTTTGTATTTATTTATTTTAAATAAGATGTTTTAAAATTTCAGTTTATTATTAAACTTAATTATTAAGTAATAAAATATATATTTGATATTATATAAATTAATTTTTAATACCTATTTAAGCTGTAAAATTAATTATAAAACTAGAATAATTATGATTATGCATGCTTACTTTTTTCTTAATTTTTAGAAGTTTTATATTAAAATATTAATAAAAAAAACTTTTAAATAATGGTATTCTAATACTTGTAATATTATTTTAATTTAAAAATAACATGTTAAATCTTTAATTATATTAATTATTTTATATTATGATTATTATAAAAATTATTCATTGCTATTATAGAAGTACTTTAAAATATATATTTAAACTTTTGTGTTAATTAATATCAGATTTTACCACTAATTAGTTTTTTTAAAATTCTCAAATATATTATGTATTATAATAAATTAAAAATTTTAGAATGAAAAAAAATGATTTTAATATTTAGTTAGTTTAATTTATTTTAATTACTATTATTTATTTTAACTAATATATTTTTATTTTAATTCAAATGATATAAGTGTTAAAATGCTTAAACTTTTATCAATGATCAACATAAGATGAATTTCATAATTGCTATTAAATTGCTTACTTAAATATAAAAAAATTTGTATAATTAGTAGTTATTAAACTTTAAAATGAATTTATATTCTTTGTATATATTGATAATTCTTATTTGAAGATTAAAATAAAATATATAAAAGCAAATTTTGCAATTAATTTTAATACATTAATTTTTAAAATAATTAATTATATAATGTAACAAAAGAAGTAATTTAAATAATATTTATTGATCAACATAAAAAATTTATTCTTATCTTCTATTAAAGTAAAAATAAAAATATAAATCACTTAAAATAATTTTTTACTATTTAAAATTAACAACAAATTTCAAAATTTTAAAAATTCAATAACAAAATAATTTAGTTAATTAGTATGAAATTGAATAATAATAATTTATTTTTTTTGAAATATTTATTGATTTTTTTCTCTCATTATCAAGAGAACTCTTAACCTCGTAATTTTTAATTCTAACTTGTTAATATGTCTGATTATATTATACATAAAATTTCATTTTGATCTTTTAACTATAAGATGATTTCTTATTCTTTAACTTATAATAAGAGTTTTTTCATTTGTAAATATATATTATAAATTTTTTCTTTCTCTTTTTTGAATCAATTGATTATTATTAAATAATTTATTAGTAATTGTATTACTATTGTTTAAAGTAAATATTAAAATATAATTTGTTTCTTCTGAAATAATATTTGCTGATTCTTATAATTAAGATTTAATAGGTTTAATATAATCAGTTCTAAAAAAAGGTATTTGAATAAATAATTTACAAATACTACATATGGTGATTTAGTAATTTTAAAATTTTAGTAATGACTTCTAGTATAGTTAAAGAAAAGGAAAAAATAAAATAAATTTGTGATAATAAAAGATTTATTTTTGTTGAAAATTTTTTTTTAATAATAAATTCTATAATAATATATCAGGATTAATGATTTATTTAGATATTTACAAGCAGATTTTTTATAAAAAATATTATAAAATTACAATCATAAATAAATATAATGTTAGATTAAATTAAAGAAACTTTAAGAAAAAATAAAAATAAAATCTTTTTTATTTGCATCAATTTATAAATATCAAATATATGAGAAAATAATGCAATAGATTTGATTAAAATGATGCTGATATGTGAGTTTTTTTATAATATATTTTTGTATGTAAAATCATTTATGATATATTTTATTTAATAAGAAGTCAACTATAATCATGTAAGTATACATAACTAATTTTTAAAAATAAAATAATTATTAAATTTCTTTATTTTTTTATATTGTATAATAATATTATAAAAATAAATCATTACATTATTTTTTTCAAAAAAAATTAAAAAGTAAAGGAATATTAAAATTAAGATAAATGTTGATTTTGAAATCTTTTTTCTTCACTTATCATATTATGATATAAAAATTATAATTCATGATTATTTAATAAATGTTCAATAACTTGAGTTCCAGCAGAGTTCAACCATTTTCTTCTCACAACTACATCCATGTGAGCTGCACCTTCTATATGTACTAAAACTTTTCTCCAACTCATATCTTTATGCCAATTTCTGGCAATCTTTTCTTCAATCAATAAATGATTTTGTGATGGAGAAGGAATATCCTTAGGTTCATAAATCCTATCATGAATAATAGGGGATATACCAGAAAATGATTTATCAAGGTAATCTTTTGTAATATTTGGAGGATAAAAGGTTACTAAAAGGTGTTTCAAATTCTCAATTAGACCTAAACTATGAATACCATTAGTTAAATCATCATCAAGAAAGTAAAGTGAAGAAGTTTTTATTGAAACCAAAAAATCATTAACAACATTTGCATATAATGTACGTTTATAAAATTTTTTGATTGCAATGTGAGATGATGAAGATGGATGTGACAAGGATAAGATCAAAGGTTCTACATCTTTTGCATGTTTGTTTAAGATTAACTCTTTACCAGTTCTACCAAATGAACCTAATTTCATTGGGAATTTGATATACCAGGCCAATTCAGTTGAACCGAGTAAAGGACTTGCAATTGTGATAAAATGAATTGGTTTAACCTTCTTAAAGAAAGTTCTATTTGTGACATCATGCAAGTAACCTGTCACAAATATGTTAAACAATCCTCCTAAAGAATGACCAATCATGGAAATCTTTGAAATTATGGGTTTATCAAATTGTTTCCATCCAATGTATCTTAATACATGTTCAGCTAACCTTTTACTACATTTCTCTATACCTTCTTCAGTGAGTAAGTGATTTACATCTGAAGTGTAAACAATTATTCTATTTTTATTATCTGAATACCTCTCTTGAATAGCTTCTTTTAAATATAATTTATCTAAAACTGTCCCATGCAATCCATGTGTTAACATAATGAGATGAAGGTCATTATTGGAACCTGATGATGAAAGTCTACGTAACCCAAGAATATCAACTGTTTTATAGGTTTCATATGTAATCAAAGAAGAATACATCTCTTTGCTGATATCTTTTGAAATGAAAGCATATAAACTGACTTCATATTTAACTTTAATGTTAGAAAATAATGCTTCACTAATGATTTCTACAGTCCATTCCTCAACATTGTTTGAAGGAATTGTTAAATTTGATTTCATCGATTTACCACAACTAATCATTGGTTTGCATTGAGGGATGTAGCAAAGGATTTGTGGTTGCTTAATCTGATTTGTTGAGATAACGGATGCCGAAATGTTATAAGGTCCCGATAAAACTGCTACACGATAAATCGACGGGGTCTTATTAGTGATTTTTATAACAAGGTTCTGGATGAGAGGCGGAAACGAATTCACATTTTGTGATTGATCAAATTTTATTCTATATCTTGATATCTCTCCGATTGAAAGTTCCGAGGAGGAACGCCAGAGTTCTTGGGACATTTATTATAATGATTATTTTATGTTTGTAGTAAAAGAAAAAGAAAAGAAAGAAACAAAAAAAAAAACGAAATTGCAGTTTTATAAATTACAAATTGATAGTAATGATCAACCCTTTTAGAATAACAATTAGAATGACGATAATGATGATTCACCTAACTAAAAAGGCAATGAATTATTATTTTAAAAAAAATACACGTGAGATTTTCAATCCTTTTATTTAATACAAAAATTTATATATATTTTTTTTTTTTTTACAAAAGATTAATCGTTATAAGATAAAATATGAATTAACCTTAAACAGTATCTCGGTTTAGCTGTAATAACTGAAAAAGGTGTATTTTATGATATTTTGGGAAAATAAATTTTTTTCTAAATAATGTTATTTTTAAAGTTGTATGGAAGCCTTTTTTTCTTTTTTCTTTTTTTTATGAATGATTTTTAAATGTTTTGAGTGAATGAATGAGTGAATGTATGAATGATGAACATTTTTTCTGCCACCTCTGGATGGTGTTATAAAACTGGAGGTGTAGGTGGTGGTGTTAAATTCAATTGACCTCTAATTTGATCAACCATTCGCGTTGGGCTTTTTTTCGAATTATTAAAATTACTTGATGCATCATTTAAAATCCTATCATTATTATTACCGTCGTTATTGAAAAAATTACTTGCCATATAGGAACCGTTATTAGAACCCATATTACCGAATTTTCTTTGTGCCGCAGTTTTCTGAACTTCATCTGTTTGTTTATACATATAATGAATTAGAGTCCTATAAATCTTTGATGATTCAATATTATAAAAAGAAATAACTAACCTAAAGCGGCCATCATTGCATCATATTCATCAATTCTCGATGGTATTCTACTCTCATCATTTTCATCATTAGGTAATCGACTCCACTTTGCATCTATAAATTCATCGTCACTTAAATCAATATCTTGATTCGAAACGTCCATTTGAGATCTTAACATTTCTAATTCATTGGTTAGAGAAGTAATCACATGGGAATTTCTTGGACTTGAATCTCTTATATCATCTTCAATTTCACGATAACTGTCAACAGCATGTTCCATTTGATCTAACAATATTGTAATTTTATTTTCAGATTCTTTCCATTTTTGTTCTAAATCTGAGTTTTCCTTTTCAAGCCTTTCATTCATTGCACGATAATCGGCAACTTGTCGCTCTAACATGACACGTTGTTCTTCCCAATTCTTATTGCTATATCCTTTTGGTCCTGATTTCATTGATTGTTCAAGTTCTTTATTAACTTTAGTATATAACGCAAGTGTCTCATCCAATTCACTTTGAGTATTCCGCAAAGCTTCCTCAGAATCTTTTAATAAATCTCGAAGTTCCTGATCGATCGAACGTAAAGACTCGTTTTCTTTACGTAATGTTTCGTATTCTTTACGTAAAACATCATATTCCGCTTCCACCATATTTTTTCCATCATAAGCACGGTCAAGCTGAGATCGTAAATCATCAATTTTTCCATGTAATTGCACCTTTTCTTTTTCAAATTCTAACCTCTTTTCTTCAAGTTTTTGACTGGTCAATTCTTGCAATTTGGAATCAGACAATCCTTTACTTACCGAGAAATTATTTTCTGCTTCAGATAATTGTTCTTCTAATGTTTCGTTACGTGCTTGAGCTATTGATAATTTTTCATTCAAGATTTCAGATTCTTTTTTATTTTTTGTTAATTCTTCTTTCATCCTTCTCAACATTTTTTCCGTACCTTTAACATAATGTACGGCAGTTTGATAATCATTCTCAACTTCTTGCAATCTTTTTTTCGTTTCAATAAGTTCCCTTTGATTTACATTAGGCCTTGTCTCCAATTTCAGATTATCTTCATTATCAGATGTTAAACTTTTTGATCCGATACTAGCACGTTCCAACTCTTCTTCAAGAATTTTGGCTTTCTCTTCAGATTCCTTGGCTTTTCGTGCAGCTTTATTATGCTTGCTTTCAAGTTCTTCACATTTTGATTCCAATTCTTTAAACCGATTCGATGAAAATACTCCATTATTACCGTTACTACCATCGTCTAAAATTCCTTTCTCTGTCAGTACATCCCTCATCATGCCTACTTTTACTTCAGCGTCTTCGAGAGCTCTTGTTCTTTCTATCAATGACCTTTCCTTTTCACGTAATTTATCTTTTGTTTTCGCGTTTTCATCTGAAGCTTCAATCAATCTACGTTGTAAAATTGCAGCATCAGATCTTGCCTTTATGGCAGAACTTTCCATTTGTGAGATCTTTATCATAGCATCCGCGAGTGAACTGGAAGTTTCTTGAGTTGCTTTCTGTGAATCCACATGGGCAGATTTTAAGCTTAAAATCTCCTGTTCGAGCATTATTATTTTCTTTGCAGCTTCAGAAGAATTGTTTCCTTCGTGAGTTGACCGTGATGTGTTTAATAATTCTGTCATCCCTTCTTGCATCATAGCACGTACTGCGTCAACTTCTTTTTGAGATTTACCCAACAACCTTTCCATCTCATTTGCTCTCGCGTGGGCACGATCTAATTCTGTCATTCTAATATCTAATTCAGCCCTTAGCTTTGCTGCTTCTTTCTCTAAACAAACAAAATCTTGGCGGGATTTCCTCCATAATGATTCCACTTCACCCGCACGCTCATTGGCGGCTAAAAGGGCGTTATTGGCCTTTTCCAAAGCTCTTTGATGTTGCTCAAGTGACTGTTGAAGCTGATCAATTTTATTGCGTGAATTGTTAGAAGTTGAATGGTACTGTGAAAGTTCCGATGTGGCTTCAGATAAACGGGTGTTATTTTCTCTTAATTGGGCTTCGGCCGTCGTGGCACGAGAATGCAAAGTGGCCAATTCTGCTAATGCTCGTGCGTGAGCCTCTTCCGCTTCTTCAGCCCTCGAAGTAGCTGATTTTGCACGTTCTTCGGCCGATTCTCGAGATATTTTATCATAGCCTGAAACTTGCTGCGATTGAAATAATTTATTTTGTAACGATTCTTTTTCTGTGAGAGCTTGTGTCAAACGTTTCTCTAAATCTTTTGCACGCTTAATTTCAATGCTAGCGAGTTCTGATTCTGATGCATTTACTAAAGCTGTTAGTTTAGCCTTAAAATAAGCAGCCTCTTGAAGAGCTGCGGTTCTCGCACGTTCTGCATCCGTTATTTTGTGCGAAGCAGCTTGAGCTTGATTCGCAATCATTGCCTTTTCTTTTCTTAACTCTTGTCTTATTTTGAAAACCGCCGACATAATCTTAAAACGATCAGAACCGGTTTCACCAATGTCCATGATTTTTTCAGAATCAATGCCCTCGGGTACCCCACTATGACGATTATCAGGAGTGTAACCAGATGTTCTAGCAAGAGCGAGTTCAAGTTTCAACCAATTTTCCCGCTTTTTGATTTGAGATATTTGCGCGTCTCTTTGTTGTAATTCACGTAAGAAATTATCTCTTTCCGTGTTTGATACAGGGGCAGGAAAATGTTCAAGAGCATCAAATGTAGGAGATTTTAAACTATTCTGACTAATTGTAGATGATGAGCTTGGTGATATTGTACCATCGCCACCATACAGCATTGAATTAACTGGTAGTTTTGTGTCTATCGCTAATGGAGATGGTGACGAGTTATTGCTCCGAGGACTTCTTTGACTAGTTTGATTGGCTGATGATGGAATGTTGCTGGAAGAATTAGAACTTGGAGGATGTGGAGCTTGACGTGGATTTTGAAAATCTCCGGCTGCACCAGCCATTTGTACTGGTAAGTTCATCGCATTTTTATTTCCTTCACGGAATTGCTCTCTTCTTCCCTCTGAAGGAGAAGGGGTCTGTTTACGAAGACTTTCGACGCTTTGTTTTTTTTCGAGTGGTGGTGATAACGAACGATTATTATAATTGTTATATCGTTGTTCTGAAGAATCCGATCTACTTCTAGAGGATAAATTATTTCTCGCTTGTGTATTATTATTTGGATCCACCATATCTGGTGGTAACCTTGGAGAGCCATTTTGAGGTCGTTTTGGAAATACTTGATATTTTGGACTACCTCCTCCCACCTGAGGGCCCATACGTGGTGATGAATTACTCACATTCATATTGTTATCAGGCATGAACCTTGGTGATGGCACTGGAGAAGTTAAAGAACTTTGACTTCCTGACGGTGAAATATGCCTCATTCCAGGCGATGTTCCTCTTACTCTATTATTATTATTACTATCATTATTATTATTATTATTATTATTATTACTACTATTACTATTATTATTATTATTATTATTATTGTCAAATGGCATAATGTTATATGGAATATTTTCTTCATTTGATGGAAATTGTCCATTTGGTTTCATTGAACTTTGCCTTATAGGTATTACATTACGGTTATTATCATCATCTATTGTATTATTACGTTTATTTGGAGATTGACTTTGTGATGGTGGTGGTCTATTACTTTCTATGCCTAGTTGTTGCGGTATTGATCTAATTTGTTGTGCTTGTTGTGATTTTTGTGTTGTTATTTGTGATGATTTTGTCGAATTTGATGGAGTAATTGGATACTTTATTTTAGCTATTATCCAGTAATCAATAAGTTAATAATTTTCATTTCCTACTAAATCATAAAAAAAAAAAAAATAAACGTACATGTATCTAATATATTAATAATGCCATCTTCATCTGGTTTTGGAATTTGTAGACAATCCCCGCCAAAAATTAAAACTTTGTCACGGCTAGCCGTCATTGCGTGATACTTCCTAGGACTTGCTGGAATTCCCATTTTCGAGAACATGTACCATCTTTGATCTATATAATAATTGTAATGGTTTAAGCGTCCATTAACAAAAAGAAAAGAAAAGAACAGAAAAGAAAAGGGAAAAGAAAATACTAACTGGAAATTTTGAGCGCTCCTAGATCACTTAAATCTAATCCATCCTGCCCCTTCCCACCAAAAATATACATAATGTCTTCTATGATAGCAACTCTATGATTTTCTCTTGGAGATGGAATATATCCTATACATGCTAATTCATTCCACTTATTTGTTTGTGGGTCATAACACCATGTATCGCTATGATATTTCTCACCGTCCGTACCGCCAAAGCTATTGATTAAAACAAAAACAAAATAGCCTATTAATAATTTTTCAAAATAAAAAAAAAAAGGTCTAGAAAACAAATATTTGAACACATACACGTAAAGTTTGTTATTGTAAGCGCACATGGTGTGACTTGTTCTACCTACTGGTGGATCATTTAAAGGGACAATAAATTCCCACCGGGCTACACCAGAACTAACTATAATGGAAAAAGGTTCTCATTTAATTTTGAATTCGATAATAACGTACATATTCTAATAACTTACGCGTTTGCAAGTCAAATACGATCAGATCGTTCAATAGACGACCATCAAACTGTCCACCAAAGATGTACATTTTTGATCCAATCACGGTCGCCGAATGACCAAATCGGCCAATCACCTTTGGATCTTGCATAGGTGGCTTATACCATTGTTTCGTAACTAATGAATAAAAAAAAAAAAAAATGATTTAGATCGTTTTACTTAACATACGAATATCTTTGAAAATAAATAAATAATAAATGCTATTTGCCAGTATTTAAAATGTATATATTGGTATCAGGTCGATCATCCGGATTTGATGGTACCCCGCCGAATACTGAATAAATTCGTTTAAAGAGTTATTATTATTTGAAATTATTATTATTATTATTATTATTTCCTCATCAATTCAAAGTAATTGAACATTCATCTAAATCATAGTCACCGATCATGTTCATTCCAACATTAACTTGTGTATGTAAACTCCGAGGCGGTGGAATATCTCCTGTTGTCGTTAATCCAGTGACATTGAATGTATCTGAGAATTGCCGTCAGCAATTGATGATATGTTAGCAACCAATAAGATATAATAAAATCAATACATTTATAGGTCCGTCACTTACTAGTTTCTAATATAAATACATCATTAGTTGCGCGTCCTTTATAAATACCACCAAAGATACATAATTCGTCATTTACCCCACTCTGATTTGTAGAATGACCATGTCTTGGAAGAAGGTTTGATAGGGAAAGTTTTCTCTGAGACCAAGGAACTTGATTGTTTTGTTGTTTTAACTTTTTTGAAAATATTTGCATTTGTTTAGATTAAAAAAAACAAATAAATACTTAAAAAGAAGTGTTTTTGATTGATTTTGATGTAGAGATAAAAAAAAAAAAAAAAAGGAAAGGAAGGAAGGAAAAGATTGTGGGGAAATTAAAGAAAAATTGAAGAAGGTATTTATGTGTTCAGCAATGGTGGGAAAGACCTTAACTAGTTAGTTCAGACTTTGCCGTCTTTACCTCTTTTTTTTTTTTTGTTTTTGTTGGGATAGGGATATTGGCTTATTTGTTTTTTATTTAATCTGCGGATTTAATGAAATTCTAACTAATGTTTCACATTTTATGCTTGCTTGTATTTTGCTTGTATCACAACGAAATCCGTAAACCAATCATTGAAAGAAATTTGAAAATCAATATTTGCAATAAAATCAATAAGATAATTTTTTTTTTTTTTTATTTTGGAATAACGATAAACTAGGCATAGAAGTGTGATACCGCGAAGCCTTCCAAAGTTCTCTTTCCATGATAGCAACATTCCATGTTGATGTGCTTTAAAAAAAGAAAAAAATCGGATCGTGTTATTTTTTTCTTTCCAAACTGCCAACCGAACAGCTTCAATCATTATTCGTCCCACTATGCCTCGCCAGTTACCCTCTCATACGATATTTTATATGCCCATTCTAAAAGGGATTTCCAATGCATTCTTAATGCATTATTGTATCATAAACGTATGTCAGAATATCAAAGGGTGCATCGTTGATCATTCAAATATGGTAGTAAATACTATGAAAAATATGAATCATATGATTGTGTTAAAATATCTAAACAAATCAGAGATGGCAAACCCGTGATCGCCACACTTTTTTTTAGATTCGGGACCGGCAAAAAGTTAATGGGTTCTAACAGTATATGGATATTTAATGTGATGATGTACCACTTTTAAATTATTTGTACTTATTGTAATGCATTTCAATAGTAAATTTAAGATAATCATTAATAGAATACACCATTATAAAAAAACAAAACATTTAAACGATGACTCTTCGTCTGAAGATTTTATTGTTTGTAAACGGGGTCCAATGATTTGCATGAAACCCCCTCCATCTCGTGCGATTTTGTACAAATGATTTGTATAGACTTCGATTTATGGAAACTTCACAAACAAACAAACAATTGATATTGAAAAAAAAAGGGTTTTATTATATTATTGAAATGAAATTTTTATTTGACGATTGAAATTTGGATAATTCATTCAAATTTTTATGTATAGAAATAAATCTACTATTTCCATTGAAATACTTTATGTGATCGGTTTCATCAATATTTTTGACTTCAATCGTCTTTACATTCGGCTTTCATGCCGTTTATTGTTTGGCAATGTCTGCCTTTTCCGCATGGTTTGGGGTGAGCAAAGCCTGATCCGCATGATATTTCATATAAGAAACCTCCATCGGAAGAACATGCCGTTAAACTATCGTAACCGCAGGTAACTTCTTCTTGTGAAGTTTCGTCATCTCGAGGTAAAACCATGGAATTTATTAGGATTTACTTTGTTATATGAGGGTTTATTTTTTTAAAGAAAGTGAGTGAATATATTAAAAAAAAGAAAGAAAGAAAAATATGGTTTAACTTTGCGAGAAATGAGAAATCGTGTTGTATTTATAATCGATGCCTTATGTCGAGTAATTTTCTCTAGCGGTTAGAATCTGTTGTCAAAAAAAAAAAAAATTTGATTTCCAAAAATGTAAAATATACGCGTCTATGAGAGATTAAATGCATGTAATGAAATGGGCCTACTGTTCCATAAATAGAAATTTCACTACTATTTGTTTTAGACCTCTAAATCATGGTTGGCGTATGATCATCTACCTAGATGTAACTCCTTGCATGTATCCTTTGGATAATGATTGGATTTTGATGGTATGAAAATTGACAATACATATTTTACTTTCTATTTAGGAAAAAAGAATCTCTCGGATTAATAATTCGGGCGAAACTATATATCAAAGTCCGAATTCCTTAATTTGGAAATATTTGTAGATCAGGTTTGGTGAAACCGCCTTAATTAATTCCGTAATATTACACTCGATCACCAGATTGATTAGCGTTAATCCCTTTGATTTAATTCCTTTTGGTTTAAATCAACTTGAGAAATTTCGAAGTGCTATTTTTACTTATAATTTGGTTGTTTGATTTGAATATTTTGTGAGATATTAGTATTTCAGAGAAAGTTGTTACGAACGTTATGATTGGTTTGGTTGAAGGGACACGGATGTTGCTTGATCAACCAATTTACTCAAAACAAAGAAATTGTTGAATTAATCGATGCCTTAATTACTGAAACAAAAAAAAAAAAAATAACAATAATTTGCGGAATCATATTTATAGTTAAATTAATAAATTCTAATAATTAGATACACCTTCATTGTGAATCAGCAGCATTTTACCGAAAATAAATTCTTTTAATATTTTGAATCTTATATAATATTTAGAGGATTATTGCGAATTGGTCAAAGCAAATTAGAAAAATATCCGTTTTATAAATAATATGAATTAGAATATGGCAAAATCACCCTGTTCCGATACAATATTCTGATCCTATCATGTTTATACGGCAACATAATGATATAAAATTTATACATATAAAGTATATATTACTTTTTGAATATGCTCGAATATTTGATAAATAATAGTATAAGTGATTTTAATTATATTGATTATATTGATTTTTCTGTCTATACGAAATTAACGAAATTAGAGACAAATGTTTTCAATTTCGGAATAAATTATTTCAAAATGTAACAGGTTGGATTCGGGCGATAATAATTGGATATCAGAAAGAGGGAATAAAGAAACGTTTAAACAAATTAAGTTGATTCAATTTGTAACAATTCTAGTCATTTATTATGGTTTTATGGATCGAATTTTCTTTTATATCACATTGAAATAATATTTTTACTTTAAAATTATAAATTTTGTGAACTTTGTTTTAAACTTTGGTTTAGACTCCAATCATTAACTGACAGTCCACATTCGATTTTACCCTCAGACTGAATTTTATCCCTCTTCGTGAAAAATTTTACTGTAAGAATGCTACTAATAATCGGAAAAATCATAACAGCTCCCCGTGACGACGTAATATATATGTTGATAGTGATTTCGACCTAAACAAGTTTTATGGATTTTTTTTTGCGATTACAATATGATTTTTCATCAAAGTTAAGCGCAACTATCAGAACTCAATAACCCAAATTTTTCTCCTATTTTTTTTTTTTTTGAATAAATATTTCTTTTTTGATTTACTTCTTTTAAACTAAAAATGATGATATTTTTAAATACCAAGTAAATTTTGAAATTAAGATTTTAAAATGACTCGAAAACTTATAACCATCCATTTTTCATTATTATAGCGAATAGCATGCTATTATTTGTTTATATTAATGATTTTTCAAATCCAATGCCATTCCATTTTTTTATCTATATATTTTTTTTAATATTTCATATATCTGTTTCAGGTATTATAAATTTAATAAAAATAATTGCTAAAGAATTAGTTTATATATGATATGATGAAAATTAAAAAATTTATATAATTAATAATAAACTAGTTGTTAACCCGTTGCAAGCAACGGGATTTTTGTATGTTTATTATTAATTGTATTAATAATGCTATTATTTAATAAAGATTTACAATTAGTGGTTAGTAT